AGTCAGAGCATTACATGAATTATGGCCAGAATTGATGAATAAGTCCAGTTAAACACAAAACTTCAATTTGTTTAATGATATGCCATATTAGGTTATTTGCCCTGGTTGTTTCATGTACAAACAGATAAAAAATATAATCCTCAATTTAGGCAAAAAGATGTCCTAGGTTTGTAATAATTAGTTAAGTGTTGTTTATTTGGTTGGATTCAATCTGTGAGAAATATTTGCAATGTTAGCGAACCTAGACACTATTACAGGCAAGATGGATCATTCAGAAGAATTTTGAGGTCAAGATGCCGCATGAAATCATTGCCATATAATTAGATTCTCTGTTCCATTTTTCCACCTACCCTAATTTAGCGTTTTCTGCTGAAACATGGAGACAGCTCTTAATTCAGATCATTTATACACAGGGAAGTAGTGTTTTTTCAGGCACAATGGAAAGAATCCTTGAACCTTTTTAACTTGAATATAAACCTGCGTTCCTCATAAATGCACTTTTCTGTCTTCGAAAATGATAGATGGGGATGTTTGCAAGATTCCAGTACTGTGTAAAAGATGGGAAAGTTCATGGCCTCTTGCCTGAAGAACATTCTCTATCTCATCATCATCTTTCCCAATTCCCACTAGTCCGACTAGATTCAATTTCAATATTTTCCAACATGTTGATATCTTTCATATCTAACGGCTCCCCAACCTGTCCAAAAGCCACAACTTTCTAAACTAGATGAACATACCAGAACCTTAACTATAAATAGTAGGTTGGCTTCATATTGCCTAATTAACCACAACAAAAGAGATCAGTCAGCTGTCCTCTGGAGTTCCCCTGACCACTTCACTAGAGGTTTCTTGGACACTTGACCGGGGAGGATCCTCACCTACTGAAGTGTTTGGGGGAACTCTAGATGGCACCTGACAATGTTTAGAAAGGCAAGGTTGGTCGATGTATAATCTTCTATTCCATGCATCAGGATTTCTTAAAAGTCATGCATTACCATTTTCTTTTATCTGACTGTGAGTGGAGTTTCATGGAATTATAAGGGGTGTGGAATTGCCATGCCATTGGCTTTGACACTTCCTATTTCCGATTACATTTTAGATCCTATTTCTTATCCATTGAGAATTGAGTAATTAACAAGAAGCTGAGGATAGAGTTTTACCATGTGGTGTTCAAAGAATCATCATTTCCACAGGTGGACAAACTTCACCTCTGAGATATACAAATAGCCTTTGTCTTCTCATGGCCCATCTGTAATTTTTCATCTGCCATACCCTTTTGTAATATCTGGTACGGGGGTCAATCACCATCTTCTCAAGTACCATTGCATTGTGTAGTAGATAGACTGCACTCTTAATCTCACCCATATAATCATGTGTACCATAAAAGAACACTAGGTTTCTGTGTTAGAAGTGTGTTATCTATCAATCTTGTTGATGTACATATATGTACACATTGTAACAGCTTACTGTTAAGAGATAGAGGTAGAGATGAGCAGCTTATCCTATATACAGTTTATCTTTATTTACAAGAGCTAATCTTATTCTAGGATTAAATTTGAGCTACAACTACTAGCGAAGAATTTATCTAAAGGAATTCATAACCATTTGAATAAGTCCAATTGTTGAATCAGCTAAGTCTTATCTGAATCCTTTGAGCAGGTGCCTCTTCTGTGAGCTACAGTATTTAAGTCTGGGGTCAGAGCTGCTGCTGCAAGTGTCAGACGTGCAACCATCTTCCGAGCTTGCGCCTGCTGAGCTTGCTGAGTTTGAGTGGCTCTAATACACCAGTAATAAGAACTTCCCTGAGATGATCACGGGGACTACCAGAACGGCAGTTTATTGCTGTTTCTTCATCAATATAATCGCAGTTGTATAGCTGTAACGAAACTCAGCAAAACTAAAGCAGTCAAGGATGAGACATTCCCTATTCAATCAACCATCCGACAAAAAAAAGAAAAAGACATTCCTATTCAACAATAATGAACGCCGCCTTAGATTTATTACATTCCGAGCATTTCTAGAAAATCTCAATGGATGCTGATGCTTACGTAAAAATTGAACTTAGTACTTTAAGTTATGATGAAGCAACATAAATTCTACTACGTTCTTCGCTAGACCCTTCAAACTGATGTTTGCTGTCATTTGTTCTTTCCAAAGGATTGTCAGTTTGTCCTAATGTTCCTTTGATCATAGCAATCAAGAAGTGGATTTAAAGGAGTATCCTTTTCTTCTAATGTTGATTGAAGAGAAAACAATATCCAATCAGGGATTAGACTTGATCTTGATCTTCTGTTTGTTTAACACTATATGTCAGTGAACATCTCATACTAAATTGAAACGGGGAAATTAAAAAGTGAACTGATTAAAAATGCAGAAGAATCTTTACTTTGCCTTTCATGGTACTTTATGTAGATTCAAAAGTTAAGATGAAAAATCTTTTCAGCTTCGTAAATAATTTGAGCAGTATCTTCAATGATACTGCAATTCCAATGTTATGTCAAAACTCAATATGAAGAAGGATAATTACAAACTAATGGCTGCTATCCACATGTATAAGTATAATTAAGGCAATCAAATTACATGGATAAAATTTCCAAAATACCCTTACTAATAATATTATATAAGGATAATTAGGCTCCACACGGCTTAATACTGTAGCCAAATTATCAGTCTAGAATCTTTATACTGGCAGGCTCCCCATTTTCATATGGTCCCGTAAGGCATGCAGAAGGGGGCATCATGCCATGGATGATCTTTATACTTGAGGGGAAAAGGTATATTTTCAATATGAAACGTGAGACACGCATAACACAAACAAATTTTTGACCAATTTCGACTGTTTACCAGCTAAGCAGCTGGAAATCAGTCACTTTAACGCTTGATAATCCCCGCTTCAGTCTGGTATAGCTTACTTTTAAATGTGAAACTTGACATGCTATATTTGCTCTAACAATCCAAAACTTCTAGCATATATAGCACTCTGAAATGAAATAAATGTATAGATAGAAGTCCGTTCCCATCCCTTCAATAATAGTATAATTTTTCCTTGCCATGCTCTATACCCAGACTCCCAGAAATAATGGCATCATAGTCATTCTTCTCGTGGCTATGTGTTCTTTTGCAGCCATGGATTATACAGATGCTGCTGTAAGCTTCATTATTTTTCTCAAACTCTATTCTTATATCATCTTTATTCATTATCTCATTACTTTTGGACTTTGGCCCTGAACCAAAAGTTTATTTACTAACATAAGATTCTGCCATATGATTCTCAGTGGCTAAATCATGGGGGTGACTTAGCTAACAGAAGTTATGCTGCTGGAGAAGTATTTCTCAACCCAATAACTGTCAAGAACTTGGCATTAAGATGGGCATTCTCTGCTGGCAAAGACATATCAGCAACTCCAGCAGTTGCAAATGGAGTAGTCTATTTCCCATCATGGAATGGATATTCGTATGCAGTAAATGCATTCAATGGTGCCCTGATATGGAAGCAGAATCTTAGTGAGTTAACTGGACTAACTGGCACTGGAGTTGTTGTAAATGTTACGGTGTCAAGATCAACCCCAACAGTCGACGGTGACCTATTGATTGTAGGGATATACGGGCCAGCAGTTGTGATTGCTGTTGACCGATCAACAGGGAGACTTGTTTGGTCTATTAAACTAGATCCGCGTCCCCGGGATCTGATCACTGGTTCTGGAACAGTTTACATGGGGTTAGTCACCTTTAGATTCTATCCTTCCAGGGTTTTTTCTTTTTTTTTTGTTAAAGATTTATTTATTTGATTTTCCTGCAGGGCGTTCTATGTAGGAATGTCATCTCTACAGGAGGGATTACCACCAGGCAATGCTGCACTTTCAGAGGCAGTGTTGTAAAGCTAGCCCTCCGAACCGGGGCAATCTTATGGCAGACCTATATGCTTCCAGATAATGGAGGAAGATTGGGAGGCTATGCAGGAGCAGCTGTATGGGGAAGCAGTCCTGCTATTGATATAAACAGGAGATTAGTTTATGTGGCAACTGGGAACCTCTACACGGCTCCTGCTGAAGTTCTAAAATGTCAAGAAGAGCAAAACAATCAGACAAAACCAAGTCATCCTGATCAGTGCATAGGCCCTGATATAAGCTACAACTCGATTGTAGCCCTGGACATCGATTCCGGAAGGATCAGATGGGCCAGGCAATTGGGGGACTATGACATTTTTTATTTTGCTTGTCTAGTTCCTAACAACCCTGACTGTCCTCCGGGACCTAATTTAGATGCGGACTTTGGAGAAGCTCCAATGCTCCTAAGTATAATTTCTAATGGCACATTTCGTGATGTTGCTGTTGCAGTGCAAAAGAGTGGGTTTGCGCGGGCTTTAGACCGTGACAATGGTGATATAGTCTGGTTTAATGTAAGTATGAAACTGTTCTTTTTGCCTTTCTGATGCAAATCATTAAAGTTGCAGTAACGTAGACAGGGAAAATAAAGCGATTCTATTCACAAGAAAACCACGCATTTTTGTGACTAAAATTTGCAGTCGTCAACTCGCAGGACCGGGTGGCAGTGAGGGAGGAGGACAATGGGGTGCAGCCACAGATGGAAGAAGAATTTATACCAACATTGCTAACAGCAACCGCCAAAGCTTCATGCTCACACCATCTAACCAAACAATAACTGCAGGGGCATGAGTAGCTTTGGATGCTAATACAGGAGAAATTGTATGGTCCACCGCAAACCCCAGCAATGACACTGCCCAGGCGCCAGTTACAGTGACCAGTGGCGTCCTTTTCGCAGGGTCCGTAGCCCCTAATGGACCCATATATGCCATCGACGCCAACACATGGAATTTACTATGGACATATAACACTGGTGCTACAGTACGGTGGAATATCGGCCGGCTATGGATACATTTACCTGGGAAATGGATATACAGTTGGCCTGGCAAGGTTTCACCCCACTTGGACTCCAGGAATTTCACTTAATGCATTTTGCATTGGCTAAGGGATGACCTCGGCAAAGCCAGTAGGAAGCAAGAACTATCAACAAAATTTTCAACCTGTGGCTGTACTATGAAATAAAATTACCAAATTCATTCAAACTTCTTTAACAAACCCCAAATAATACTGACAGCATCCCGTAATATGTGGAATTCTACCCCAAGTGGAGGAGATTTTTAGCAAAATGAGGTCAAGCTTTACCTTTCCTAGCAAGCACCAACCTCAACAAGACAAGGAACACAAGTGCCTCCATACTTGGCACTCAGGTTCCATCTCGTGATCTTTTGATTAAGATCACATTCAAGGAGCTATAACATCCTCTGACCTCAAGACATTTATTAATGTACTGAGTCGAGAATGAGTAATAAGACTAACAGTGTTCAAACCAGTAGGTTTGGGCATACAGTAAACCCTACAGAATCAACTCAATATGATGGAACATTAACATCTACGAAATCGAAAAGCATTACATTTGCAGATCAGCACAGTCTCCGTCATGATATTAAATGGAAAGAGATTATCATGTTTGAACTAGGATACAAATCGGTGAAAACGGGAGCTAACGAATTATACAAACACAGAAAAACCAAAAGAGACCAAATAAGCAACTGTAACATCTATAAATATTTACCGATCTACACTCCTGAAAGTCCTAACGAAACTTAAAAATGCACCAAGCAAAAAAAAGATTAGATGATTAATTCTCCTGGTTCCACAGCCACAAATCAGAAGTGACAACATATAACAAAACTTGAATTAGGTTGCATATCCGCTTGAACTCCACGAGAACTTCAATGAAAATGCTTTCTTGTGCAAAATTACCTCCTCCATTCAGCTCTGACCACCTTATCTGAACCAAGCCAACAATAACGAACAGTCATCATGCAGAATAGGCATAGAGGGAGAGAACCTTACTTGACGTGAATATGAGAAATACAGATAAGATAAGCTAAGTAAAATAAAATAGAAAAAAAAATAAAATCTGACACCAAATGGTGGCATGATACTCACACAAAAATCAGAAATGAAGGGTGAAGGAAACAAACAACTAGATTTTGTACAATCTAGCAACCCTAATTCTTGGGCAAGCAGGAGAGTTAAGTGAAATTAAAAGCCCAACTTGAAAGAAAGATTCATAAAGCAGAAATAAGCAGCAAAGACCCTAAATGAACATCAGGTTCAGATACCACACTAAAAATGAAATTTGCATGCTCGATATTACATAGAACTACCAACATATGAGCATGCTTAAGTAGACATATAGACGTGAATGTACATACATTGGTGGGAATGAATTCCCATGTTCTACTGAAAGAATGGGGAATAGCTAAGTCGGATATCCATAGATAACACTGATATGGCAAAACAAAAACAAAAATGGAAAGGCATAAAGCATCCAGTGCTAAGTCGTGCTCACCACTAGTATCTCTAGAGGATGATAGAGATTTGTCACTGCGGATAGCTCCTTTGCCAGCTACTTGACCCAGTTTTTGAGCACGTGGTGACAGTGAACTTAGATTGCTATTGGTTGAAGATGGCAGAGAATATCGCCTGTTTAATCCATTTTTCTCAACCACCTCACGGATAAACCTTGAGGAGCCTTGACCCTTAAGTCTAGCTTTTGCAGATTCAGTTGGTGCCATATAACTGGGCACTTTAGGCGTGGTATTTAAATCATTTTCTTGATTATCAATTTTTGCAGGGAAAGAAGCTCTCCTTTGGTTTGCTTTTGAGTTCTCATTGCTGACCTGCTCATCCTTAGAGGTTAACTCCTCTGTTACTGGCATGTTCTCAATTTTACCATTATTTTCTGCAGGTGGCAAGTCAACTGCAGGACAAACATTAGACTCATCAAGAGAAGCATCTTCGGAGGAAATTTTCGGACCTGCCTCAAGATTTGACAGTTTTGATAGTGTTGCAGTCACATCTCTCATCTTCTCAGCAGATTCTTGCTCTGAAACATCGGGAGCATCAGAACTAGAAGTTTTCTCTAGAGTCTGTTTTGTTCTCTCATTAACAACCTCGGACTTATCTGAAAACTCCTTTGCAGAGTCAGAAAGTTTTCTTAAATTGCGTTTAACCTTCTCAAGCTCATTTTGAGGATGCTCCCGAACTGAATCTGCTGGGTTGCCAGAAACTCTCCTTGGACCTCGTTTTTGTTTTTCATACTCTGAAGTAGGACGACTAGACCCATTTTCAACTTTTGCATTGGACAGTTTCCGAACACTTCGCTTTGTTTTTCCTCGTCCATTTTCACCACCCTTTTTCTGATACTTCAACGCCAGGCTCCTAATTGGTTGTGAAGGGGATTCCCAAAAATGTGACCTTGTCCAGCGTTGAAGCCAGTGCCAGGATGAGTTAGGCTCCTCTGGACCATACTGAAGTCGTAGAGGTAGTACAGGAGGTGATGAAAACAGAATCTGAAAGTTATGGAAAAGCATGATCACATATACAGTTTGGCACAGCAGTGAAAAGTACATAGCAAAACCGGCATAAGTTGAGACATCATGATTCTTGCTATTAACAACATGCCATAAGCTAGGAACAGGTACTTAAGTAGTGGCATACATCAAAAACATTTATCACTGACAGTTACTCCATATTAAAGAGAAAGGAGCCAACAGAAGGATTACATTTTCCATCTGAAATATTTTAGCACTCATGATAGAGTTCTAAAGTTTAAGCATGGCATAATAAGACTCTTTTGTTTATGTTATAACATTTCACAATGTACAACAGCAATGAAATGCAACCTTGGCTTCTATATAGATGGCACACGTGTATTACCAAGTCACACCTCCTAAACCGATTAAACGCTTCCTAAGATTTAAGTCCTCTGAGAGAATGTATTAACAAAATATAAAAAAAATTAAGACAACTAGTTTGGTGGCACAAGCAAGAATTTTTAGGAGCATGAAAAATATCCTAAAGGCCAAACATCATGGACTTTCTATCAGCACAAAAGTAAAAGTAGATACTAAGCTGAATCCAATAGCAGTATCAGAAAGCAAAAGTTAGAAAAACACTATACCTTCTGAACAAAGGCATTACTTGACAAATTCTTCACCTGAGAAGATATGCTTGCTCTGAAAGAATCCAAGCTTTTAGAGCTCTGTTTAAATAAATAAATAACAGCAAGCTTAGAAGCATGATATGTTATGTACACTTAGCTACTCAGGAAGCCACAGAATGAAACAAAAAGGAGGTATATTTTGACTTTCAGATAAGCATCCCGAACTAAAATAATCCTTTAACATTAACGCATGGATACTATACCAGTTCCCATATTAATATTGATATAATCATAAACATACCTTTATTATCATAGGCACTTTCACATAAACAAAAAACATAACTAGGGCATAAAGAACTTGCGTTTCCAGTTTTTTTTTTTTTTTTTTCGGAAAAGCTAGAAAAGACAAGCCATCACGCACTGGTCCAGAAGAAAAATACCTGAAGCAGTCTTTGATGTTTTTCCTGCACTTCAATGCCAATATCTGAACATCTGACCTTTTGACCACGAGCTAGTGCCTGGAACTTAACAATTCCCCATGTAGAGCATAAAGTAGCAACAGCTTGTCTTCTAACCAAGTGACCACGAATAAGTGCTTGCAGCCTTATAATGCCCTTAAGGGTTCGAAATGCCCGGCGAGCCTTTGAACATATAAAATTGTCATCAATAAAACTGCACTATTTTAGGGAGGATGCTGGTCCTTTTATAAGGTCATGCAAACAGTAGACAGTAGATTCTGTACTTTTATTACACTTTATGCAAATCCATACTTACAAACTTTCCGTTTAGGAGTCATATGGTAATATAAATCAGTATGTAGTCAAATATTTTCAAATCGAAATATCTCTCAACAAGAAGATGCTTGTAGGAAAATGATACGTGTGTTAATAGGAAAAGCTACATTTAGTCAAATGAGTACCAGACAACCCAAGTTACTGTAATCAACAACCCAAAGAGTTTTGCACTTCCTTAAACTGCCTATACCATTTTTTTCAACAGCCATTGCTTATGCTATTTTCTTCAACAACGAGGGGCTAAATTTTAAAATATATACATACACACAGTAATGAAAGTATGAAATAACTATCAAATATAGAGCCAGCAGCCATTTGTACGGTCTGACATACACAAGCATTTGAACGAAGAATTGATAAAATATTTTACCACCAATGAAAAGAAAGGTCTAGATCATACCGTTAAAGAATGTAGGAAATAATTGTATCTCATTGAACCCTCACATAAATTTACCTTTAAATACAACCAATCATCACCAAAAACACAAGGCATGATGCAGAGCAAGAGAGGTCCTTCATTACAACCCAAATGCCAACTCAAACAAAATAAGCAGAATAGAGAAAGTGCATACAAGCTACGTTACTGCCAACAATAATCAGCAGAGTTTTCACACAGTGGAATGAATACTATAGCAATAAATGGCTTAAACATTTCATTACTCTTCATGACCTTTAAGTATAACAGTAACCTTAAGAGAGAGTAAGCTACCAGATAACCTCTGAAAGCAGCCTGTGCCTTTGCAGCAGCTTGGTCGAGCCTAATCCTATCAAGATCTTCTGGGTTACCAAAGTTACTAACTGCAACATCATTTCCATCCACTTTTGAACATGGAATATTGACCCCATCATTTGGCAATTGGGTGGTTATACCCTTCTCAGAATCCACTACATTCCTAGCACTGCTCACCAAAATAGGTGCAGAGATTGATGGAGGATCCAATGATAGGTCAGGCACAGTTACCCTGGAAGAAACCAATACCTCTCCTTTATTTGCAGCATTCTGCACATAATTGAACAAGAATTAGAATATGTAGCATTTCCAGCCTTCAAAAACTATTTAAATATTTAAAGATAATCATTACTTTCTTACCAGCTTCTCCCTTCCTTTTGACAAATTGGACTTTGAAGATTTCTTCCCAAGAAGCAAGGTCTTGATCCATTTTGCAGGGGATTTTCCCATCTCCGTTAAAACTAAAAATAATTAAAATCCCACGTTTTTAATCTGGAAAAAAAAAAAAACTGAGCAAAACCTCAATATTATCCGGGTTCTAGCATAACATGTAAGCATTAAATAAAAAAAAAAAGTAAAAGCATAGCATTTAAAAATCAACCAATGTCCTATCTTAGTACAGCTTGCAATTAATGGCAGTTAAAATTTTAGTACACTACATAATCAATAGCTTGCTACATACCATAAAAGATAAAAGACTAAATTCTATCTTATAAAAAAAACAAATCGATATCGAACAGGACACCAACTGAAACTGTAAAACCTAGACAAACAAAATACTAGAAACAAAGCTCGAAAATTTTACTGTCATTTTCAGATTTCCTTCACAGTCTCAACAGTAAAAAAACAAAGATTAACAACCAAAGTTCACATCTACTTAGGTTAAGGAAAATCAAGACAAAAGAAAAACAAGCAGAGATCTGGTCCGTGTCGGCAAAACAGAATAAGGTAAAAAAAAAAAAAAAGAAAAGGATCAAAAGCTTTCACCTGGAAATGCAGCAAATTTTAAGCCCTAGTAAGTTGCCATTACTGGAAAAAAAAATAAACAGTAAACATTAGGAGATCTGAAGAACAAATTTTATGTCTTTGTTTTGCAAACTTAAAAGGATGAGAAAAAGAAGCTGTAATGTTAAGAATGAAGAAAATAAACGTAGCATTAAAGATCATTACCGAACAGGATGCCTCGAACAGAATCTTTGAGAAGGTTTTTTTTTTTTTCCTTTTATTTTCGTTTGCTGTTTAGGGAGTGAACTTAAATAAATGCCTGCAAAAGTAAATTTTGAAAAATAAACAAAAAAAAATTGTAAATATTTGGGTAATGTGAGGGGAATTGGAAAGAATCAAACTGCCTGCTTTCGCTGGGCCCTCAAAGTTGGCCCCTTTCAAGTCCCCATAAAAGACCCGATGGAGATATAAATATGGTCCCGCTGCCTTCCCTGCTCTGCTTTTGCTGGTGACCTGTCTCAATTTGCTTCAATTTCCTATTTATTTTTTTGTCTTTTTTCCATCAATTCTTTAATGCTTTTTTTTTTTTTAATTTTAAAAGTTCTAATTCGTATTTAAATTCATCACTTAGGTTAGTCATTAATTTTTTAAATATTATACATTTATTTATTTAATGATTTTGTTAACAAATATCTTTAAATGTTTTTTAAGGTTATTTAAATTAATATTAAATTTCATAAATTATTATATTTAATGAAAAATCATTTAATAAGCATTTTTTTTACACCAAATAAACTCATTCTTTTGTTTAAAAGTCTTTATGTCTCTCTGACAAAAAAAAAACCATGTCTCTCATGTTATTTTTAATAATGATATTAAAAAAATTAAGTTGACCCTTCAATTTTACATTGAAAATCTATTATAATACATAAATTTAAAATTTAAATTTATAAAATTATTTTAAAAATAAAATTATAAAATTTATAAATAAAATAAATAATATTTTATAAATTAAATACGAATCTCTATAATTAAAAGATTCTTTTGAAGCATTAAAACAAACAAAATTAAATGTACTTACCTTACTCATGTAGTGGGGCCGTTGTCAAGAGTTCTAAGATTCCTTGAATGCAAGAGAGGACTGCAAACTTACATCCATTAAAAAATGCATGGTGGTTGCTGTCAGGTTGGCTGCCGATGATAGTTACTAATAACTAATGGGATTATTTTTTTCATGGACTAAAGTAATTAAAACTATTAATGATGGTTACTAAGAGTTTATGACAATTTTCAACGGATTAATTGTTGTCAATTGAGTGTAAAATCAAACAAGAAAGGAGTGTAATTAAGCGGACAGTTGTCCAACATATAAAAGAGATTAGACAGACAAAAGCATCTTTAATCAACAATCACTCCTAAGGTTTAGTAGATAGTTATGATTTTCTTGTTAAACTCGGATGGGTGGTTCGGTTCTCGTAAAAAATATTTCGAAAAAAAAAAATTAAATGTATTAAAAAAATGATAAAATTTAAAAAATACTTGATCGTATTAAAAAAATCATTTTGGACTGACCCAAGTAATTAATAGTGGACTTCTGGGCCGTCTGATTTTTAAGAATATTGTAGATAACTCTGGGCCAATGACTCCTTGTGAGATTGGAGCAATTAAGGAGAGTTTAGCCCAGCCCAATGTGTTTTACAATGACAAAAACCGAATTAGACACTTCTTCAAAGGATTGAGCACAAGGATTGTTGCTTCAAGGTCAGAAGATTTTAAACTTGATTTTTTTATAATGATTGATTATTTGATATGATTTGAATAAAAAATTTTATTAACGTGGAATAACTATTCCATATAATTTTTTTTTTTTTTGTATTGTAGTAAGTTGGATATTCTGGCCAGCAATGAGGCAGAAGCAAACCCTCATTAATGGGTCGGCCATTGGTGGCGTCAAAGCTCTACGTTTCAAACCAGGCAGGAGTGATGGAATCATTTATGCTTTTGGCCTTTTAGCCTTTTTAGTTTTTACCCAACGGAGATGACAGGATCCCTTTCTTGAAGGTTGTTGAATAACTTTCCTATAATATATATATATATATATATATATATATATATATACACTGTAAGTTCAAATGACAAAAGGCTATCCTCTGTTCTTGCATATCATCATCTCTGTTCCCATATTTTCTTCTACATGGATGATAGGATTCACTTTATTTTAAGCATTTTTAATTGCCAAAATGCATATTTCCGAGGCATACCATGTGCATCCTTACTATATAAAGCTGCCCTTCCTCTACCACATTACTACATTAGCATATCATGTCTCAACATACTTTTTATGAAGTTCCCTGTTTAACTTTGCTTTTTTCTAAGGTCGACTTACAATTAAAAATTTTATCTTGAATTGTAACATGAAAATTTTATACTATTATTTATACATCGCAATATATAAAGGTAAATTTTATCATGGTCCTTAACTTTTTTATTTTTGTTCCACTTTAACCTCTAACTTTGAATTATTTCATTTAAATCTTTAATTTTTTTTTTAAATGGTTCCATTTTAATCTTTGTTTCAGTCTTTTACCAGTTAAGAAAAATATTGACTTGAAATGGGAAGAAAATGTTCATGCGAGATATTGCATTAATTTTAACTAATCAATTTGATGAAAAAAAATTAAAATAGAATAGTTTTTAAAAAATAGGATTTAAATAAAATAATTCAAAAAGCAAAAACTAAAATGAAATCAAAATAAAAAAATTTGCGGACTATATATCAACAAATCACAAATAATTTATCTATAAAGGATAACAATGCATGATTATAAATAAACAATTAAACTTCAAATTATTTCAATAAAAATAAAAAAAAGGCTAAATTGAGAAAAAAATACCAAATTCTTGAAAAAGCTCGTCACATTCTTGATTAGATAGCTAAATTAGTGCCTATTGTCGACTTGTGGAGAGAAAGCTATGGCTTCCATTATCTATGAAAAGGGCCAAAATAACATAATCAACAAAGGCAGCTAAGCTAAGGTGGAAACAGCATCTATGCCATCCACCAAAATTATACAGTAAGATAATAACAATTAGGTGGAACCAACGCATCATTAAAATCCGAGTATCCGGCTTCGACAAAAGGACAACAATTTTACCCCTTTTTTTTTTTTTCATCTCGCCGACAAAACGGCATTTCGGACATGAAACAACGGCCAAGGGGGCCGTTGTCGTCATTTTCTCTTATAATTCTACAGGACCCTTATAAAATATGAAGAGTTTTAATGATTTTTTTTTTTCGTAAATTTTTTAAAAATATTTTTGAGTAAAATTATTTAATTATTATCTTTTAAAAATTTTTGAATATTCATATTCTGTAAATTATAAAATTTAAGGGATATAAAAATTCAATAAATTATATAATTTATTAAAAATTTATTTTTGAAAAGTTAATTTTTAAAAAAATTTTAAAAAATTTTCAAAAAGGATTTTACTGGAAATTTTTATTAATTGATATAATGAAAATATTATTATTGAAAAAAATCATAAATTTTAAAATTAAGAAAAAAATAGTTTATTATTTTGTCTTGGAAAAGAATAAAATCGTATTGCTAATGTACTATACATAAAATTTTCATGTTACCATGTAAAATTTAATATGGTAGATCGCGTACCTTAGGATCAGGATTCATTTGAATTGCATGGCAGGGCCTAGTTCATTACAAATATATATATATATATATATATATTGACATTCCCACTCTTTCTTGGATCTTTGATTCTCATTTTCTTCAAGTTATTTGAAAAAAGTTCTTTCACTTTCTTAATTATTAGCTTTCATCTACTTTGTCTGAAATTTTGTTTCCAGCTATTTAAGGTTAGTAAAATAACAACTACTAGCTTGATCCAACACTGTATGGCTCTTATTCAATCAGTTTGGATCTGTATTTAACCTTTAATAAGTAGTAAGCAAAACCCAGATCAGACATTTGTCTTTTTTAGATGAAAACTGCATTTATTGAGGTTCTGGGGCTATATGCTAATAGGTTGCATGTGCATTATGTGACTGAATACATGAAGTTAATGTGATTTTCCCAGAAAAGTTTTCTACTACTTTTAAGGTTTTTTTCTTTGTTTTTTGAGTTTAACTAAGTAGAAGAGAGGAATGGAGACTTTCAGGATTGGTTTCTGTTCATTGCTTTCTGTAATTTTAATGCTTGTTCCAGTTTCAATAGAGCAGCTTCCTCCAAGTGAAACCCGGATTTTTTTCCAAGTTCAAAGGCTTCTTGAATATCCTGAAGTTCTTCAAGGATGGACAAACTGGACCAACTTCTGTTATCTCCCTCATTCTCCCTCCCTAAAGATTGTCTGCACGAACAGTCGAGTAACAAAATTAACTATCGTTGGAAACAAGAGCTCTCCAACTCTCACCACAAAGACAACCTTAGGGAATGTTTCAGGTTCTCAACAGACTTTGTCTGAGAAGTTCTCCATTGATGCACTGTTCACTGTCCTGACTAAGTTTTCTAATTTGAAAGTATTGTCCCTGGTATCCTTGGGGTTATGGGGTCCCTTGCCCGCTAAGATCAACAGGTTTCGTTCACTCGAAGTTCTCAACATAAGCTCAAATTTCATTTTCGGGGAGATGACTATGGAGATTGCATCGTTCAAGAATCTAACGAGTCTTGTTTTGGCTGACAATCTGTTCAATGGGAGTGTTCCAGATCTTACAGGCTTGTCACTTCTTGAAGAGCTGAATTTGGGTGGCAACTACCTTGGACCATTATTTCCTTCATTAAGCCAGAATCTCGTGAGTATAATGTTGAGCAACAATTCTTTTAGATCTGAAATCCCTTTAGAACTGAAGAAATTCTATCAGCTTCGGAAGCTGGACATCTCTTCTAATAAATTTGTAGGACCAGTCCCACCTTTCTTATTCTCCCTGCCTTCAATTCAGTATCTTAATTTGGCTCAAAACCAGTTAAGCGGGGCCCTTGCACTGAATACATCCTGTAGTAAGAACCTCACCTTTGTAGATATCTCAAATAACCTTTTGATAGGAAAGCTCCCTTCATGCATAGGATCAAATTCGAGAAATAGAACAGTCATTAGTTCATGGAATTGTCTGTCTGATGGAAATTCAAATCGCCAGCATCCATATTCATTTTGCAACAAGGAAGCATTGGCTGTTAAGCTTCCTGTCAGAAGAAAGGAGCAGGAGTCTGGAATCAAAGCAGGCCTAATACTCGGTATCATTGGAGGCGTTCTGGGATTTGTAGGAGTTATTGCATTGTTAATTTTGGTCATGGTCAGAAGATCAGAAAGAACTGAAGATGCAAACTATGAAAGATCCATTGCAGACAAAATGTCAGTTCGTAGCTCTCCAAAACCAGCTACTGATTCAAGTAAGACTATCTTTGTGCCTTTCCCAGCCCTACTATTCAAAACCATTTATGCAAGATTTCAAATTGTATCATCATTTCTACCTACCAAATTTGCTTCCTTTGCTACACTACAGGGCGTGTGCCTCAGACAATGAGATCAGCTGCAATTGGGCTTCCTCGATATCGTGTTTTCAGCTTAGAGGAAATTGAAGATGCAACCAACAACTTTGACCCGTCAAATTTTATGGGGGAAGGATCTCAAGGGCAGGTAAAACATTTGTGTTAAATATAATTAGTCCCCTGAGCCATGAAGCTTGTCATGTGAAAAAAAAAAAAAATGGTTATATTCAGCTTGAATAATGGTTACTCTGATGCTTGCAGCTCTATAAAGGTTGGCTTGTAGATGGCTCAGTGGTGGTGATAAAATGTCTGAAACTAAAGCATAAGCATTTACCTCGAAACCTAATGCAACGCATGGAAGTTTTGTCCAAGCTAAGGCATCGGCATTTGGTTAGCGTTCTGGGACACTGTATTGCTACATACCAGGATCATCCCAATACAGCCAGTACTGTGTTCGTTGTCTTTGAACATATTTCGAACGGATCATTGCGGGACTATCTTACTGGTAAAGCTAACCCCACAAATAATTTACACAACAGGACAAAAGCAAATCTTATATCATTGAAGAATTTAATTCACTGTTGATTTATTTGGCAGATTGGAGAAAAAAGGAAATACTGAAATGGCCACAGATAATGGCCGTCACCATTGGTGCTGCAAGGGGGATCCAATTCTTGCACACAGGAATTGCACCTGGCATTTACGGAAACGATTTAAAGGTTGATAATATTTTGTTGGATGAGACTCTTACAGCCAAAATTAGCAATTACAACATCCCCTTGCCATTTAAGGTATAGGAAACAGAAGGAAATTTAAATTACTTTGAATGCATTTATACACATTATTTCTGAATTTAACATGCTGGTTCTCTTTCTTATTTTTATCGTTTTCCTTGATGAAATTGCAGACGGGTTCTGAGAGCCCCGTCACCAATCGTCTTAATAGGTAACGTCTTTCACCTTCCTTGTCCACTTCAATTTTCATTGCCACAAGGCTATAACTTGTAACTACTCCTGCAGTGATGAAAATGCTGAGAAAGAAGACATTTATCAGCTGGGAATTCTTCTGCTTCAAGTTATTACTGGTAAACTGGCCACATTCACAAGTGAATTGGATGAGCTTAAACTTCAGGTATGTAGTTAATATGTTCCAATTGTCTAGGCAAATCCGTTATAAAAACACTAGACACTGCATTAATTTTCCCTTTTCTCCTTGCAGCTGGAAAAAAGGTTAGCAGAAGGGCCATCAAAGTTAAGAGGGATGATAGATCCCTCAATACAGGGCACTTTTGCACATGAATCAATGAGAACCACAGTTGAATTCGCCATCAATTGCCTGTCCAAAGATTCATCCAAGCGCCCTTCAATAGATGACGTTCTTTGGAACTTGCAATATTCAATTCAAGTTCAGGAAGGATGGACCAGTAGCGGAAACCTTGCCGCACCCCTTCAACAGCCATAGTTTATTATCTACCGTAATTTTATAACTGTAGCAAAAATAAATGTCAGCATTTCCTCTTGTATTAACACATGATTTTCTCGTAAATCATCTTCATAAAGTTTCCACATGCAAATGTCAAGTTTAAAATAATGGTCGTTGCATCAAAAAAGAAAGCTTAAACTATCTCTGAACAAATGAAGCACAGGAAGATTAGAACAATCATTTCAATTAAAGGAGCACCATCCGTCCTCATAAAACAAACAACGTAATAAAGTCAAAATAGTTTGCAACACATTTTCAGTGTCAATGTTATTTAGACAGGCCACTGGACTATTTTTGAAATTCCATAGAACCGAACCATGAGCTATCAATCGGCAGTCCAGCTCTGCTAGACAACCTCACGTACTCCTATTGTATTCACGCTATTCGCGCTTGTTCTTTCTACGGAGCCAAAGCATGAGATATCAATCAGCAGTCCAACTCTGCTCGACAATCTCACGTACTCTCCTATTGTATTCACGCTTGTTCTCACTAAACATCCGAGCAGCTTCCGAATTTGCAGGAGAATTTGGATTTGGATCACAAAGCAATGACTGCATACACAAAATAATAGTTGCTTATAACAAGAGAGAGAGAGAGAAAGCACACTAAGTTGTATACATGTTAAATGCATCAGTACCACAGTTTCACAAAAAGATGCCCATCTAGCGTTAGAACCAAGGAATATGAATTTAGAGGGGTATCAACTATCCAGTTGAGATTGGGAAGGGTTACCTCCAATTGTTTAGCCCAAGGCATAAATTTCATGTGTATGTATACACGCGCACACCAGGTCAATGCTATGCAATCTCATAAGGGATTTATGAAAAGACATTAAAATGATATATCTGATTCTTTCACATGCATGACTGACAGGTTCAAATAGTAGTTGTCTTACCACCTGGATCTAAAGTTCAATGTTCCAGATTAACAAAAACATATTTGATAATATCGTCATCATAATGAAAGATCTTCCGATCAATAACAACCAGCCAGTGGTTGTCATTAGAGCTTTTCAAAGGCAAACAATGTTTCTGCTTCTACAACTTTCATATGGAAGTTTAAAATAAGTGGCAGGTATGTTTAGAAGCACAAACTATGACACACTAGAATTGGAATTAAATTATATTCTACTCCATGGTCCTTAGATAACCGCAAATGAAAACCTGAAGAATTATACAATACCTGAATTGATGTCAGTATTGCTGCTACATCATAAATCGGACTCCACTGATTTTGTAGAATGTCCAAACAGATGCTTCCATCTGCATAAACTAAAAAAATTTGCCGGAAAAAACAGGGATCAGAGCCAGATTAGATAAAACTATTGCCAAACAAACATACAGAGCACACAGATAAAACTTATCCATAAAATATAATATAGATTTCAAATGAAGAAAACCAGAAACTGAAACTGAACAAGTAAATTTGTTACAGCAACATCAGCTTAGAGGCTTCAGTTGTGTGCATGGATGTGGGAATTTTTTGGAATTCCAAGTATGTTTGGATAAATTGGAATTTCATACGGAATGTACAGCTGAGTGCAGCTCCATTCTGGCCCAAAGGGTGCCTATGACACAAAGAACTAACAAATGATGGCACTGTATTTACTGAACATTTTCATGTTTGGAGATTCATAAACAAATGCTACATGTAGTCCTCCTCTGAGCATCCAATTTCCAAGTAAAGGTCTACTCATTCACAAGTATAGCAATCGAAAGATCACAGCATAACGGGTGACCAAACTGAATAAACATAAGCACTATAGTTTCACCCTATATATTACACCTATCATGCAAGAAAGAATAAGTTTATCTTACACAAATATGTCAAAAACTGAAGCCTGTAATAAAAAATTTAAAAACTGCAGGGCATGCAGGAGTAAATGAAAATGTAAACTGAATATGCTGATGTAGCTAAAGAATAGGATTTGTCTTGAGGCTTACTGTTTGGATGGAACATTCGAGATACAAAACGAACTGTTGGTGGCTTGTTTGGATAATCCTCCATAAACTGAAGTGTCAGTTTGAACGTACCTGAAGGACTCAAAAATATCAAAACAGAGATGAATTTATAATTCTTAGCAGTATACCTACATTCTATGAAGAAAAAAATCCAAAAAAATAGCTTAAATGATCACCAAATAAAATTCAAGGAGAAAAAAACATGACCATTTTTTCCCATTTAAGAGATTTAACAGACATGATAGAAAGTAAAGGATCCATATACTCAAAGTATATCAGCCTTTTACATCACTCTGTCCCAGTTTGAAGGTTGAAATACAGAGGTCAAATGGGCATCCTTACAAGAACATCCTTAACAAAAATCTAAGGGTTATTGAATTTTATAGATTTCCTCAAGGCTCTATTCCATGACAAGATTGTTTAACATCTTCTGCTTCATTATTCACATGAAAAATAAGTGTCAGGGACCATAGCCAATGCCAATCCTATCAAACCAACCTATCATTCAGTGTTTTGCAAGAAGTACTAGCTGATAGGAATCACTAAGCTCTGTTCTGTTTTCAGGCCAAAACTTACCCCATTATAGAAAACAAATTCAGCATCCAAAAACCATTCAGAAAATCTAGATAAAAAAGGAAAAAAAAAACTAGCTGTAGATGAAGCATTTAACCAATTAATGTATGGGAAATTGATAATATCTTGGGATTGAAGAATTACTGTGAAATTGTTTCCAATTAGATAGGTTATATCAACATATGTTTTCATAGCAAACTTCTAAAGAGGCAGAAAGAGACAAGCAAACAAATCCAACAAACAACAATAGACAACTTGATACTTGAAACTGAAATATGCACTGGAATATAGTTTACCTCCATCCCATGGGGTGTCATCAGGGCTGCAAATCCATTAAGTAAAGTCGTAAGTACAATTCAATTGAATCTTTATATAAAAAACAAGAAAAACAGTAGGAAAATACACTCCAGCCTTATTTTGTTGAATACCCAAATATCACAGCATTCCAGAGCATAATATTGTTATCTTGAGGAGCACCACTAATTCCTGCAGGAGGATCTTGTTGCAACCTCTTAAAATCCCTCATAAGTCTCTTCCTTGCTGGAGTCGACATCCTCACCCGCCTACAAATTTCACAGAGGCCGATCCAAATTCAATATGAAGAAGCACACAATGAACGATAGAAGAAACCAGAGTTCTTTACCATAAAAATAAAAAAGATTAGATTAAAACCAGAATTCTACAACTAAAACAAGTTTAGAACATCTGTTCTATAACTTTACATGCAGATTGACATACAAACCTCAATCTTTTACTTTGAGGTACAAGCAAAGACCTACTAAGTCATGAGCTGCAACAGAAGGCAACTCTCTCCCACAGCATAAACTCTGCCGAACATCCCCATGATTTGAACTAAACACTTCCAACATGGAATCTCAAGTTCTAATCATTGAGAAACATCAATTTGCATACTCATCATATATAAAAACATGGTAATATAATTTGCTTACACATAAAGCAACATAGAGAAAGACCAAAGGTGAGATAAAGCAGACTTTTGCACTTAAGTTTTGTTAGGGACTCTGATTCAGCAGATCACAAGTCACAATATATAATAATTAAACTAGTATTTCTAGAATTATCAGAACAAATTAACATCAAGTAATTAAAAAAATCAGAAAATCTAACCATAAAAAGTTAAAATCACCATGAAAATAGCAAAAAACACAAATCTAATTAATACCAGAAGAAATCAATCCCAAATCCCCAAATTTCCCACAACCCTAGATCCATAACAACGATCAAAAACCTAAAGCTTACATATCTAGCAATCAAACCCGGCCATTCCCTTGGATATATAGTAATTACCAGACAGAAATCGAATCAAAATTAAAGAAACAGACCAAAAATGAATCTACTCCAAGGAATTGCAAACAACAAATAAAGGAAACAAAAAAAGTATCTCACTTTCTGAGTAAACGCGGCGAGTTAACTAGGATTCTCCAAAAGAAAGCTTCAGAATCACGTTAACAAAAGAAAAAAAAAAAAAAAAATTTCCTCCCAAGATTTGCTCAGGAAACAAACGGAAAATTTTATCAGAGAAAGATTTCTTTATTTCTTGCTTTTGGTTAATCATAAAACGACCGATCAAGAAAGAAGATTTTACTTTCTACCATATTTTCTTTTCTATCCTTGAAGACGACGATGGGTTTATATATAGTTCTCTTTTTTTTCCTTAAAATTCCATCGGTAATTCTAATATATAATAAATTTCTAATATTTCTTGTTTTGTTTAGGTTGGCTCTTAGCTGCCAAGTAGCAAACTAAGCGACGCCATCATAAATATCTACGTGTATTTTTCTTTTCTTTTTATATAAAATAGGAACAAGATACATAATTTAATTAAATTTTCTAGAATGTTCATTTTCTCATGATAGTGAAAGGCACTAAAATATTAAACTTTTGGATGTCGACATAATGAAAAAGTTTGGCTTATGCACATGGGCGGTCGAAAAATATGCTATTTTGTGAACGAATGTTCTTACCATTGAAGCATCAATTCATACTTTAAAATTTACTCATTTTTAAAGTAAATCACATGGCAAATATTTGTTGCTTTTTTATTCTCTTATTTCTTTTGTCTTATGCAACAAATTTCAAAAAATCTCTTGATGTGAAAAGAAAATTGACGGAATTAATGGGAAATGACTTCTCTTTTTTTATTTTTTATCTTTTATTTTTTTCACTTGCCTACTACTGACTTCGATTCACCTCCTATTTTTTCTTTACGTCATTTTCCATTTGCCATCGAATTTATTCTTTTAATGTAAAAGAGTGTTTTATAATTGAGGAAGGTAAAAATCTTATTTCTTTTGGATTTTCTACCAAAAGGAAGGAAAAGAATTTGGGAAAGAAATGATTAAAACAAAAAACAACTAGGCTCAATATGAGATATTATTCTTTTACTATTGTATATTTTTATAATTGAATTTTTGTTTTTGTGTACAACATGATGAAAGGAATTTTCTAATTTTTAATTTGGTATGTCAAAGTTTTTAGGATTAACTAATGATATTTTAGTGAGATGGAACCTTTGGTTTTGAATTGAAGCAATTTCCTTATTATTATTATTATTTTTTTATGTTGAATGATAATTTTATTCTTGAGAGAGTGTTTTGGAAATAGAAAGTTACATAAAATCTTGATGTGATTGGTAGCCTATAAGAGTGGTAGTATTCAGCAATATTGTCAACTAGGTTTAGTTAGATTATATTGATATTTTGACCTTTGACCCTAAGAAATTTATTGATATTTTATAGATAAGCATTCATCCAAGAATGTTATGAGCTGTTTCCATGCGGTTGATTGTACTGCTAGAGTCGTGATAGAATTTTTTGAGATATACTATTTTGTATATCTTTGAAATTGAGTGTTTCATATTATAGAATAGGTTCTGTCATCATATTTTGTCTTTGAAAATTTTTTTTATTAGGATCAAGATTTTGTACATGTACATTCTTACTTCTCACATTTTATAATTTAGACTTACGTTAAAAATAACCAAAAAAAAAAAAAAATAGAAAAGAACAAATCCCGCAATAACGCACGGATAAGACACTAGTTTTATTTAATAGTACTAGTTAAAAATTTTATTACCAACTTTTAAAGGGAAAACTTTTTACCGAATCAAATTGCATGATAAAATAATCATGGACTTCACTATCATATTAGGTTTAACCATATAAAACTCATGCTTGTAAATATATACATATTGTAAAGAAGCTCAATTTGTTTGTGTCCATTTGAATGGAATAAGGTACCAATTTTAAAGTTCAATGCAATGAAAATCGAACTAATTATACATCTAAATGCATCTTTTATTTCATATTTATTGGAATTAAATTTTTTTAGTAGAAAAATTAGAATGCTTTTAACATAATTTATCTATATATCACATAAAAATTTAACTAATTTGCAAAGCTCAATGAGAGAATCTTAGATGTAATTTGAAATGTAGATTTCTCTCGCAATTTATTTATGTTTTTGGTCAATTTCAAAGTATAAAGTAGATATGCCTTTTTTAGGGGACATTGGATGAGAATATGTAAGAACAAAAAGATGATATTTTCTTTGCATAAAAAATATTCTTTTTTTTTTTCTGTGAAGATCAAAATAGACCTCAGAATTTGAGAATAAAACAGCCATGATTCATGGCAACAAACTTATATTCCTTCCTTTTTTCTTGGATAATATTCTCAGGCTTCTTCTTTCAACCATGGGGAGGAAAATAAATAAGAGGTTTATGAAATTTCCATAATATCCTTTTCTTTAGGTTTTCCTACTTCAGCTAGCTTTAATAAGCCTAATTTCATATCCCTGTAATTTTACAAGCAAAATTAATACAGTAATACGTATTATCTCCTACTTAAAAAGTCGAATTGGTGTTTTTCTTTTTCCTTTGGCTGATTGTGTTGTTTTGGAGGAAGCAGTGAGGGCTGGAACGGTGTTGAATGAACCATAAATTAGGTCTTCCAATAGCCCATCACTTAATATGATTGCTGTTATTTGGAGGAGGAGGATCTGAAGCACTCTTGGACGTTGGAAATGGCAATGAAGTTGGGAACAGTAGTAAGCTTCCTTGCTTTGGTTGTTGCTGATGAGGATTCATGCACGAACATTTTCCTATGTAGCTTGATGCACAGCCTACTTCATTCTCTACAGCTGCTGGGTGGGCTGTTTTCTGACGAAGTGACTCACCCCACTTCCCTTCACTTCCACTATGATTGCCTCTTGGCACACCACCTCCATTTCCAACGAAGGAAGTGAGAGCAGCCGCTAAGGCAGAACGTATCAAGTTTGGGTTTGATGTAATCGCCTTGGTTGCAGCTGTTATTGTCTCTGATAAAGACTGCTGATGAGTACGAGTCGGGTTGGTCATTTGCATGCAAGATTGGTACAAGTGTTGTTGAGGTGGTTGCCTTCCTAGAATATTCAATGACCCAATGAAACTATTTTTATGGTTAGGAAATGCCCCAAAGGTTAAGTGGCTAGTGTTCCAAGATGTTTGTGGATTGAAGCCTTCTAAAGAAGAAGAAGGTGAAGAAGAAAAGTTGAGACATGTCGATGAGCATCTGGGTACATTAGAAAATCTACTGAAATATGAGTAGTTGGCTGGTGCAGTAAGATCAAGAGTGATAGTCGGGTGAGAATTGCAAGTTGAGATTGAAGAGTTAGGGAAATAGAATTGATATGGCCTTGAATTTTGGGCGAAGTTGAAGTTTAAGCCATGGAGGTTAGCAGCAGAAGATGTGGAAGTACTGGGGGCAGAAACTGAGGTGCCAAGGCCCGGTTGTGAGCTTGATGATTGAGACTGTAGCACGGAAGCTGCTGCTGAAGTGGTGGAAGCCATGGCTTTAGCACTTAGGGGTAGTGGATGATTATGGTTCCCTTCATAGGTTGTGATCAAGATGGACATGTCCTCTGCACATCTTTGTACCTGGCGTTTAACAAATATAATTAAGCAGAATTAAAAAACTGATTAATCAAAAAGAAAATCCATATTTTTTAGGCTGATGATTATATCATAACAACTGCCCTTGAGATAAATGATGAAATTTTATCTTATGATAATTTGAATAAATTTGTTGTTATTGGTACTTCCTTTGCTAATGTCCTCCATATGTGCATGTCAAGTAGCTTTAATGCAGTCATAAACAGTAGTATAACATAAGGTTAGGTTTCTTTTTCTTCCAATATTATAGCATTTCAAGATTATTCTTAATACTCAGATCAGATTTACGTTTTCTAATCAAATTAAATGATAGTATTAATTATTTGGGACAGGTTTCAACTAAGGCAGGCAGATATACCTGTTTTCGCACAGGACAAGTCGGTGCTACAGTACAACGGTAGTATGCCCGAGGACGTGGATTTCCTTTTGCTATTTTCTGTCCATATTTTCTCCATTGACATCCGTCGTTCATCTGCATATACAAAATATGATCTTTTTCACGCATCAAAGTTTCTGCTTTACTATCAAGGCACACTTTAAATAAGAATTTTACTATTCAGCTAAAGAAAGTTCGAACTGTACCGTTGGGGTGTCACATCTAGCTCTGACAGAAACCCTAGCTTTTTTCAACTGCATTTGCTCTGACGCATCTTCTTCATCTCTATTTCTCACAGTCTTGAGGATTTTACTTGGTTGACATACCTCAGTTGGTTCCTCTTCCTCCGGTTTTCCTAAGCTAGTTTCAGAGCTTGGGTTCTTCTCAACTTCAGTTGAACCAGGTGGGTCGAATTTGCATTCCAAACCAAGTGTAAGTCCTTCATTACCATTCGGTTTCTCATCTTCTTTGCCATTACTGACTAGGTTGCTGCTGATATTTTTCTTTTCTTTCTTAGGCTCACTACCAGAATTTCTCCCCAGGCTAAGTGAGATAATATCAGATTCTTCATTTTCTTGATGGCTTGGAGCCGCCTTGGTGGACTTCTTGGCTTCTTCTTGCTGAAGAATGTAAAGGAAACGCATTTGCAAAGACTGGTAATCCTTCACAATTTGGGATAATAATAATTTTAACCTTTCATTCTCTTCTTTAACCTCTCCCATCTTGGCTTTGGCTGATTCAATTTGATGGTCCTGCATGAAAACAGAAATTGCACCTTCTGAATTAATTAATTCATAATATAATCTTTCACAAATAAAGAGTTACAACGCAATTGTACGTCCAAATTAATAAGTTGAATGTACAATTGTGGCCCATGTGGACTAACAAGTACTATTACGTTGAATTCGTTTTCATAGGTGACCACCCAATGCATGTACGTAGCTCAAGTCTACCACATGGCTTGGGATTTAATCATTTGATCAAACATCTTTGGCCTGTTTCATTTTAGTTGAACAAACGCGTAATGCATTCATGTGCACTAGGAATATGCAAATTTATTCAATCAGAGATGCAGTACTCTTTGTTAATTCAGATATGTTGTCATATGGAATAAAAAAAGAAGCATGATGAGCCTAGCTAGCTACCTGCTGACAGTCAGACAAAATGAAACAAATAATTTCCCGATTAATGAAGTTCAAAGGCAGGTAGAAGTGGCTGAGCAGTTTACATGTTCATGTTCAATAGAATTCACTAAATTAATCAACAATCCTGATGTAGTGGTTTCTATTAATCATGAAGTTCTCAGGTTCTTTTTATCTCTTTGATTAATATGGTTGGAACATCCTTTTTGTTAGGAGAAGGAAGCTTGGAGCTATCCTCTTCTTGTTTGATATGGCTTTGGTTTTCTCCCTATACAATACAATAAATCCTCTTGCATGAATAATAAGTAGTTAATTAAGAAAAAATAATGAGATCAGATATCAACTTTCAGATCATCAGTTTGAGATGAAACTAATGGCCCATTTATGAATTTCCCTGGATCATTCAAAAGTCAAAACAATTTAAATTTGTATTGCCTGAGTGCCAAGTTTAAAGTTTTGTTACCTTTGCATATAAAACAATTCAAACCATTACACATTATCTTAAAAAACCCAAACATCTTTGATGGATTTAGCAATCAAAATTTAAATATTTAATTTGAAACCTCACCAATTCTTGTTTCGAAATTAAAAAAAAAAAAACTTTTATAGTTATATATAGCTAGAAGCTCACCTTGTTGATTTGTATAAAAGCACGACTCTCTTCACCAGAGCTGCCAGATTTGTTTATCTTCTCTTCAAACACAATATTTCCAAGAGTAGCAGAGTTCTCCAAATCGGTCTCCATTACTTTTTTCTTGAATGATTTCTCTAGTTTTCAATCTCCAAAAACGTCAGAACATGGCATCTTATACAAGGAGAGAAACAGCCTCCAGGATACAGATTTTGACCAGAAAAAACAAAATAAAAAACTAATTCAAACCAGAGTGCTTATCTTTCTGTGTTTTAATTTGTTACCCATTGAGAAATGTCAAATTCTCTTATACAATCCAAGAAGCAACTCAAATTTCCTTTCATTTTCAATATTTTTTTTTTTTTACGTTGTTTTTCCTACCCCACGTTGTTCTAATAAAACAACTATTCAACACAAAAAAAATAATAATAATAAAAAGAATTGTTCAATTTTCAACACTTTTTTTTAATATAAGATTAATATCTTATATTAATACAAAATTTACTCTGTCAAATAATTATTAGATTGAAAAGAAAAGAAAAGATCGTCAAAAATTGGACTTGTTCCCAATTGGGTACGTACGAATGATACCAACAACTAAAATGTTTTACACAAGGATATTATCTGGGAAATGATAATTTAGACAGTCTGTATATATATGTAGATTTTATGTGGGAAGTGATTAACTACATCGTATATTAAGGTTGAGAGAGTTGAGAATGACGTTTCATATGACATTATTGTCGAATTTTGTGTCGGAAGTATATATATTGAGCTCTTCATAATAATTGATTAAATGTCGGATTAATTTAAATAACTAAATAATTAATCATGAATGGTCTATCGATGATTAATTAATTAGATTAACTATTCTATTAGTAATTTAGTATTGCTTTCATCGTAAAAGACAAAAAACAAAAATACTAAAACAACTATATATATAGAGAAAAAAATTTTATGGGATAACATATATAAGTTTTTTTTTTAATCAATGATGATTTAAGTTATTATTATTATTTATTTTAAAGAGAAATTTTCGTTTTAGTTGTACATTGATCTGACGATTCGTGTATACGTTTTATATAAAATATTAAAATTTATGTATTTTATCGTATTTTACACAAAAATTATATATTATAATTCGTATCGATATAAAAATGTAAAATATATTTTTTTATTTTATTAAACCTATATATAATTATCACCAAAATTTTAAATCATATTACTTTCATATTTATATTTTGTATCATATTTATATCGTATCATCGTATCTTGTTTTAAATTATCGATTTTGTTGTATATTGGATCAAATATTTTGTGTTGAAAGATTTTTTTCATAATCAGTCATACCATCTTTGATAGATTCTTTATTTGAAAAACCTAGACTATTTCCATCTTGGTATTTCAAAAATTGAAAAGTAAAGACCTTAGTTTTGATTCAACCCTGACTCTTCATTAGGTAGGGTATGAAATAATTTATATTAATTTGATTCCAACGTGTTGCATTTTATAACCATTGTTGTCTCAAAAGTCCAACTAAAACAAGAAATATTATAATCTTTTTTTGGCTTGCAAAATCTAAGTGATCAACAATTCATAAATAAAAGAGTAGGATCGTGTAATGGAGGAATTAATTATTGAACCTCAAAAGGCTTAGGGTAGTCATTAAGGTTCCAAATAATCTAAATCAAGTTGATTATCATAAAAGTGAAGTCAATGGATGCTGATTCAAGTGGTTGAAACTAGGAATTTTTTCCCTTCCTTTTAATTAGATTGACTTCATCAACATTTATAAGTTAATCATTGAGTCTTAATAAATGTACCAACTTGGTGAATATCATTGGATCATTTTTGCTGTAATAGGTATCTCTTTATTTTCATATTGTAAGTTTTGGCTAATTCTTGATGTAACAACGCTCCAAAAGTTTACTTTTTGTTAAAATATACACTATATATCTATCTTTTACTGGTCAATTACATATTTCAAATCCAAGCAGGAATTTTTTTCTCTTTTCTTTTATATTTTTTAAATATGATAATTTGTGTATTCATGCTTGTTTTTTTTTTTTTTTTTTTTTTGTATCTAATACATGTAAAATATAATTATGGTAAAAAAAAAAAAATGTCAAATGTACCTCCATGCATAGACAAGTCACAAGACTAGTTAGCAGATATAGGATAAATAGCCATCACCAAAACCATGCGCCATTGGGAGGCAATGAAATTTATGGAATCGAACAAATGCAGTCTAATACTGTATGGCTCAACCATATAACACCCAAACTAATTTAAACTGCTAGCATCATTGTGAAAGCACAGGGCACAGAAGAAATTCTTTGTGGAAAATTTTCCCGAAGCTAGCTGTAACACAGAATAGTTGACAAAAAGGTCATCCTACGACGAAAAATTTGATCAATCTTTGATACAAACTACCTGCTCCACTCGTAGTCTCCTCCGTATCGGGGATTTGCATTATTCCCATGACTAGTCTCATCTGGTTTGATCGAATTCGCATAGGCATGCCAACCTAAAAGATATGGCAAAATAAACTGCAGAGATAAAAAAAATTCGAGTATGTTAGAAAACAGTTAATGATGCTAACAACTTACAGACCAGAGAAATCAACTATGTTCAGATATAGGAAATCAGCTTCAACTGCCCCAAATATGTTTAATCATCAACCCGCTTTTCAAAAGTTTGATTATCCAAATGAAAAACAAATTGAAAGGGGAAAGGCATGTTGGGGTATGGGATGTCAACTATACATCTATTAAGATTCAGGATGTCATAATTTTGTGATACATCAGAACACCATATATAAAAAGTCTAGAATGAAAATTAGAAAAAGGAGAGACATATCATACACTGAATGCTGAGTTGAGGACAGTGAACTCTGCTCGTGTGATAGGAATAGAAATATTTTCATCCATGTTTAGAAGTTTGTTTTGAACACCTTCAACAAAAGCCATTACAAACAAACTGAATCAGAGAAAATGTTAGGTCTCAATGTCACAGATTGATTATAATCACATGCAGTGTGACAGGAAAGAGTGAAAAAAGGAGGAGTGCATAAATATATGTCAATCTTTCCCCTTCTAACTTTAACGTAAACAGTCATTAAATGGGTGTTAGCTAGAAGATAATATTTCAAAATGAGAACCAACGTGAAAATTTGACCCACCAACAACAGCATGGACACAAATTCCTCTAGCACATTACTAACAATGTAGGACAATGTGACATATCTATACCAAACAACACTAGAAAACATGCATATTTCCTAGGGTGATAAATGCACCAAACCTCAAATTGACAAGGATCTTCCAGTAACGTATAATTGGGCTTCAGAAGATAACATTGCACAAGTAAATAGGAATAATAGAGAAGTGGCTGCATTATATTCAGATATTATGCCATCACAAAGTAAATAATATTCTTAATTCCTGAAAAAGATTCAAGGGAATAGTGCATTACCAAGGTTAAAAAAGTGGCCAGACCCATCAGGGAATGGCTCTACCTTCAAGACCTTCCTAACCTTTCCTTCCTCACTGCAAAATACTAAAATCAATGTCATTTAAATTCATCTCAATTAACAACAACAGTGACAACTTTGCCAGACAAATTTTGGCAACATTTAAACATTACATCAGACTGTAGAATATGTTTTAATATAAGAAGAATTTAAACTAAACTTACTGTCAAAAAGTACAGGAAGTAACTCAATCTTTAAACTAAACAGTTATCAATAGTTGCTCACTTTACAAACTATAATGCCAATGATCCTAGATCTTTGAAAAATGCAAGTAGCAAAATTTCTACCACGATAAAAAGTAATGAAATTTCCATGATTAATGGAAATAACTAATTGGAAGCATTTCTAGGCTTCCAGCCCATTCAGCAACAAAACCTGATTTTACTAAAAGCATTGCTTCACAAACCACCAGAATATCCTGTATAAGAACCATTCATCCCAAAAGAACCATCTTTTTGGCTGTATTTTGACTTGTAGATAATAGAAAAATATGTTCTACCAATTTTTTTGGCCAATTTGACAATGGATTGTGACTCTCTAGTCTCTCATCTCTCAAATACTTCATTCTTAGAAGTGGATCCAATCCCAAGCATCCAGAAAAAAAAGAAAAAAAGAAAAAGAAAAGTATGCTATAATTCTAAAGTCATCCTATTGCTTTACCTTTAGATTTTACAATTTCTTAAGAATGACTTGCTGTAATTCAAGAAAAATCTTCTTAAGGAAAAATCTATTGCTTGCCTTATGGAGTCACTGATCCTCAATCTATATCCTTTAAACATATGCTTTCATATATCATATGAACATATGAGAAACCACAAAGCTGAAATAACATTGGGGATAAAGCAGTTGCCAGCACATACAGAATGCATCAGGAAGAGTTCAATTAGCAACTGTAGCAACCAATCGCCACTGACCAATGTCCACTACACAGTGGTGTGTGTGAAGGGGGGTTCAGGGGGATAGTACCTTTTTCCTTTAAAAGGATCATGGAAAAATTCACATGATTCCCTTGCACGTAGGCTAATCAGAGTTCCAATTTCGGTCACCGATAATGAGAACACCTGGAGAGAAGCAAATCAACAATGGATGTATATCATGTCTCTAGTATAAAGATTTTACATTTGGCTCGTAGTAAACACATCAAATGTAACACTAGAAAATTTTAGGTGGAAATCAAATAGTTATATGAATTAGGCAAATTACCCGAATCAATACGATTCGGTAATTTAGAACAAAATTTTGAAACAATCCTTTGTTCTACCCTAATATTTGAACCATGTCATTTCTCTAAAGATTAAAAACACCAACATCTCCAAAGTTATACCAGTTAATTTCTCAAAAACATTAAATTCACAGCCAATTTAGCATAAGATTACCTGCTTCCTGCTCCAATCATATTGTCTAACACCAGCAGCTGGCGCAAACTGTAGCAGCACAAAACCTTCCCTGGATAGTTTAAATGCCCCTGACTGCACAGCAAATACACCCGCCCCCAAAAGAAAAGAACACAAAGCAAATAAAGAAAAAGCATCAAAACTTCCAAATTTATAAGTTGGAAAAAGAAAGAAAAAAGCAAAACTTTGAATGAAATATACATCTAGAGGCACAAACTCAGGGGCCTTCGGCTCCACAGTAAGAACAGCCTTCCCTTTGTAAATTGAATGACCCACATAAAACCTAGGCGGCAACCCTGGTATCAAACAAAACACTTCCAACATTTGAAAAACCACAGATAAAAGCTACCACAGAACTTTTCTATAGAAATAATAAAAGTTGGCAGCTTTAGCTTTACCTAAAGGTGGCGGCCATGAAGTGGGAGAAGAGTTATTAAACCTCTGTTTCTGGTCGAAGTACTCAGATTGGCGGCATTTGAGAGAAAAGTTGGAGGGTTTTGGGGTCAAAGAGAGGGGATTAAACTTAAAGGCATGGGTTTGGGTGGACTTGAGTGAAGAGAATGAGAAAGAGAAAGGAGGAAAAGGCTTGGTGTTGGAGTTGGAGTCAGGGTTTAAGGTTTGGACAGAGAGTCGGGGAGAAGATAAGAACTGGAGTTGCAGCATTCTTCTCTCCTTTGGGTTGTTTGATTTTCTTTGTTCCCCAATATGCTTGTGATTTATTAAAATATTAAATCAATCGTAGTAATAATCAATTTATAAATTATTTTTGGTAAAATTTACGAAAAGAGTTTTTTTTTTTTTGGGCTAAAAAGAGTGTTTTTTATTTATTTTTTTATTTTAATACATACGTGGAAACTGAAAGTGTTGTCAGGTCGGGGGCTTAAGGCTTATCCTAGGCCACACATCCAGAATAGGAAAGCAAACGAAAGGCTGGGCCTCATGTCTTTTGGCTAACCACACGGTCTTCTTCAACATCACTTCTTCTCGGTCTGCAAAGTCGTTTAACTGATAGATAGATTTCCTTCGTCTTTCTTTTTTTCTACTCTGAACTTTACATATGTAAATGTCTTCGCTTTGTCCCTTCTTTCGACCTCTCCTTCCTCTATGGAGGCACAAGAGCGCACGTTACTTGGTTATTCTCCACTGCAGGACGAAGATTAGCTTCAAACCTTGCGTGTTTTCTTCTTCATCCAATGATGATTCAACTTCACTTCCTAAGCAAAGCGAAGTATTCTCTCTTCTTTTTTTTTTTTCCTTGGCTCACTTGCCTTTGCTCTTTGGTGGGTTTTTTCTTTTGTTTTTTTTTTTTTTCCTAATGTTTTTTTTTCTTTTGCCTCTGTGGTGACAGTTGGGTTATGATCCTTCAGAGGTGCTATTTGGACTCTCTGTTGATCCAAAACCAAGGTCTTAGCGCTTTTGCTCTCATGCTTTCTGTGTTTATGTAGTGTTTCTTTAATCAAGAGTTATGATCTGTTTTGATGCTTTGAGAAGCTTGATTTTATATGTTTTCAGTTGCTGTTTTACATGCATATTCTGCCTTCTAGTAGTAAGCATGTTCAGCGTTTTTTCTTTTTTGAACTATTGCTGACCGCACAGCCAATCTCCCCCACATAAAGAATCATTGATTCACATAGTTCCTAGCATTTAACAGGGTCTGAAATCTTGGTCGTTGTTAAGGTGCTTGCATAAAAAGGTTATTCATTTTGCTCCTTTCATAGTTGTTTTCAGCTTAACTGTCAATGTTAGATTATATAAAGTTTGTACAGAACTGACATCTCAAGTAACTTGCTGAATTTGGTCAGCAATGCCCTTCCAGAGGCACTGAAACCAAGATCGTGGTTTGGCCCAAATGGTCAGTACATCAGAGAGCTTCCTTGTCCAAGTTGCAGGGGAAGAGGTTATACTCCATGTACAGAGTGTGGAATTGAAAGATCAAGATCAGACTGTTCTCAATGTAATGGAAAGGTACATGTTGCACACTTAGTGATAAACTGATAATGGTATATCAATATAAACACAGAGAAGAGCAGCCATTGCATTTGCAGTTGATAACTGCTCCTTGAACGAACATAGGAACATGACATTCTCTGAAATTTCTATGTTTTATGAATGTAAGTTATTATAAAGTAATTGAGGGCATACATACAGACAATTCTAAGAAAATTGTATCTAGCTATTCACTTAAGGTTTCCTCATAATGGCAGGGTATAATGACTTGTTGTCAGTGCTTGGGAGATCGTGTGATATGGGAAGAGTCGATTGATGAGCAACCATGGGAGAAAGCTCGTTCAATGTAAGCTCATTATTCTGCTTTCTCTTTTATGCTAAAATCAGTTCACATAAGTCATTTTTCTCTGCTCGATTCCTGTTGCCAATGCCTTTTTACATTGACCCTTTGGCCTTTTCTCATGTGATCACAAATTCACAACTTGGAATGTCCTACCTTAAATTCATTTTCTCCTTGCTTTCCTTCTAGGGTGGATATTGTATAATGTCAAGTATAATCATTCAATTCTTTGTCTTGCAAAAATGTTTATATACTTTGTAAAGTAAAACTTGCTCAAGGTAATCCTTCAGGATGCAGTCTGGCTGCTTCTACAGTCTGGGTACATATATATATATATATATATATTTATATATAGTGTTATGCCTTTTTAAATAATAAGCTATTATTCTATTGAAATTTTAAAATCTTGAAACAGAAATATTAGACATGGGGGAATACATATTTGACCCTTTGTATTTTCCTACAATTTTATGAAGTTCGTCATATTTATGCCTTGATGCATGAAATTTTACCTTGATCATCATGAATTCTTTTTACTTAATTGTAGTGTAGATGGAAATCTACATATGGCATTTGTTTATGATCTCTTCTGAGTTGCTTAATGGTCCTTGTATATTCTTCTGCTTGAGATACCGCACTGTAGGTTTTGAAAATGTTCTTGATCGTCATTGTGTATATAAGATATCTAAGTTTATTGATTGTGCATTAAGATAAAGCTGTTCCTCTAATTTCATCTTCTCCTTTATTCCTCTTGTCCAGTTCTCCACTCAAAGTAAAAGAGGATGATGAGGTAGACAACCTAGATATAAATCTGGATGTGAAGAAAAAATCAAAGCGTGTTTACCAATCACCATCTCCTGAAGTTGGATTGAAGATCAGCCGATCACTAAAAGTTAGTTTCTTACTTGGCATCATTTTATACAAAACATTGGAGGCCCACTTTTTATACGGCGTATAATTGAAACTATTGATGCATTTGTTATAAATAAAATCCCAGCAGTACTTATGAAGATAGGCTAGATAAACTTTTCAAGCTGCCATCATCCAATGCCTCAAACGTTTATTTGAATGCTCTAGTGGAGCTTGATAACAATTTAGTTACCTTGGTGACGTTATCTTAGTTTAATCTTTTGTACTAAGGGTGAAGTATCCTTTAGCTTTTGTTCTTTTACAGTTAGTGGATCTTATGATTTATAATTGGCATAAAATAAAAAATCGCATCTGGTATCATCTGAGATGCTTATGTGAACTTTGAAAAGCTTCTTATTGCTTTCAGTGGTGGTGCTAGGTTTAAATACACATATATGTTTCACATTTTTCCTTTTGAATATACTTAAAGTTGGAGAAAATTTTACATATTCATGAATTTAATCTTCTTTGTTTAGTTGGATGATTGCAGAGTCTCAATGCCAAAACTGGACTATTTAGTAAAAGAATGAAGATCATCCATGGTGATCCTATGCTTCAAGCTCAAAGGGTGGCTGCCATTAAGGTTTGAATTTGAGCTTTCAGCTTTGTGACTTGAAGTTTGCATGACTCTCTGCTAGTCTGGAGACTTGAAATTTTGAAATATGGAGTTAGTCACATAGAAAAATTGTTTTGTGGGGGAGAAGTGAGGTTGCTTTCATCATAAACAATGAGGTTGTACTATATACATTTTCCCAATTTTCTTTTGTTGAAAAACATCAATGTTTCTATTGTTTTCATGTCAAGGACAGGACATTATGATAGATGAGCAAACTGTCAAATATGGATAATGTAGACTTCCATAAGCCCTTTTTCATTGCTTGACGTTTTACTCTAGAGCAGATTCCCAATAACAAACCAAGGAATACCAAATTGCTTATGGTTAGTATTACTTAAATTGTATGGCTCTGCAGCATCAGATCTTTATCAAGGAACACGAATAATAGCTTCATCAAACAGAAATGAGATTAGTGGTATTATATACATATGGCTCGGTAATGATAAGCAGTAACAGAAGCTATGGATTATCAAGTTTCATGCCAATGCCAAATATTGAGATATTAAGTATAAGTTCTTGGGGATGCCGTGTTTTTATATATCTTGTAATAAATGAGTTCTACTGGTTCAAATGGAACTGACACACAGTAATGAACATTATTTTCTTGTTGGAGGAAAAGAAATGATGGTATGGAAAAGGCTAAAGTGTGATAAAGCTATATTTGAAGCTGTAGAAGCATATATCAATCATTGACATGCTTGCAACTTTCTCTACGCACTTAGAACTTGTGCTTTTTCTTGGAAGAAAAGTAATTAAATGTACCTAATGTTTTGATAGTAATATTATATATAAATCAGAAAGCAAAAGGAACTGCTGCAGCAAGGAAGCGTGTTTCTGAAGCTTTGAAAGCTTTTTTTAGTGACCCAGAGAACCGTCGTAAGCGGAGCATTTCTATGAAAGGTTGCTCACATTTTCCATTAAAAGTTCAGTGCTGACATGTTTTAGTGAAGTTAGAATTATCTTTCTTTCCTGTCCGCACAAATAATTTAACCTTTTACTGTTTTATCAGTTGTTAACATTAGCCTTTCTGATTTGAATTTTGAACTAATGCTTGGAATTATAAGCCTTCTTTTCTCAATATATTTTATGTTTTTGTCTTCTAAACTTTTGATATATTCTACATTCCATCACATGAAAGAAAAGAGGAAAACTCCAGTGTCAACTTTTACCTTGATCTAAATTGCTCATCTGGAACTGTTTTTACCTACCTTTTCCAGATATTGCAGCAATGTTGGTTTTGTTATTCTGATGATTCTTAACATTGTGCTGTAACATATGCTACAATATTGGCTTCTTCACAACACTATAGATTAATTATAACGAGTGTGATAGCCCTCATTTCTGTCTGCTGTTACTTGCATATTCAGTTTTAACAATGTAGTGGTTATGCACATGGAAGATATCAGCATTGCCATATGGTAGATTTGTTATCTCAAGAGCTTAGTAAACTTCTCTGTTGCTCTTTCCTCTTGCCTTGGGTTTAGTTTGTTACCTGCATCAACTAGGCAGTAACAGGGAGCTTGAGGACTAACCTCATTGCTTTATAGGCAAACCATTGGAGCAGACTAAAAGCTCCATTGCAGCAAGGATTTATTTTCTCCTGTCTTATAAGATTTTACTGACATAATTATTCTTTTTCTTATTGTGATGCAGGAGTTAAATTTTACTGCAGGAATTGTGGCCGGGAAGGGCATAGAAGACACTACTGCCCTGAAATTAGAGATAGTTCAACAGATAAGCGGTTCAAGTGTCGAATATGTGGAGAAAAGGGCCATAACAGAAGAACTTGTCCAATGTCAAGGTTGAGCAATCATAGAAGGCGTTGCAAGATTTGTGGCAAAAGTGGTCATAATCGTCGTACATGTCCTCGAGTGAAAGGGGTGAGAGACATTTTGACTTTGGGAAGTAGAATATACACTTGCAGGTTATGCCGAGAAAAAGGGCACAATGTAAGGACATGCCTTGGTAAAAATAAAGCCATCAAATTATGATCTTCAATTGGAAGAAGCAAGCGAGCAACCTGTTCCTCAGTGATTGTGCTGGAACAGTAGACGAAACAACAGAAATTAGAAAAGTTATTTGTAGCACGTGAACCAGTTGCGTTGCGTCTCTATTTCTTAATCTTCCTTTGGCTGGATTTGACTATGGTGTCCTACTTTCGCTTTTGATTTGAAGCTTATGTGAACTGATAGCTTAGGTGAAGTCAAACTCTCCATTATGATTCGGAAAATAGGAAATTCTAAGAAGCTATTTAGGAATGAAAACAGTACAGTTTTTACTCTACAGAATGCAAATATATCTTCTAAACTGACTTCTTTTACCTGGTAGTCTCCAAGGTGGCCATTTTAGATAAATTTATAGTATTTCTTGGTCGTATTCTTCTGCTTCATTGCTGTCATTATAGTTTACCGAATGAAATTATAAAATTCATAAATGGGGTGGGGGAATTATATATTTTTCTTGCTTCATGATTGTATTAGGCAGTGTTCCATTACTGTTTCCAGTGGCAGGAAACACTAAATTAAATTGACTCTGAACTTGTTATGATGTTATAATCTGTCTCTCCTTGAGAATGTGGAGACTGAAATGTTATCATATCTTCGTGTAGAAAAGGTGCGGGACAGTGATGCAGAAGCTTTCCAATGATGACAAAGAAACTAAACATGACACTGGTTTGTCGCCAAATACAAGGATTCATTGTCAGTCGATAGACTTGGCATTCAGCCATTGTCCTTTCCTCATAGATTACAAGTCTTTGTTTCATTCATAGTTGACTGATGATCCCATTATCTTTACATTCCACATACACGAGTACAATTTAATTTATGATACAAAACAAAACCTGGGATCGGTTGACATCCTCTGCCTCTATGTCAACAATCAACAAAATCGAGAGGAGAAATAAATAACTTAATCTACTCTTTCTTGTTAGTTAAGGTAAAGAACTAAAGAAGGCAAGTTTGTTTTTTTTGTTCAAGGAAAGATATGACCCTTACGGAAAGGAGAGGAAATCTTAGCTTAAAACTAGAGCTTCTATGTCCTCATAAAACCTCTTTAATCATTAGGTTAAGAAGCGAAGAACTTAAGAAGGAGGTTCTTAAGGTACTTATAATATTCCCTCTTAATTATAAATATTTGATGATTAAGTGAATTATTTTCTATTTTCAAGACTGCCAACTCTATAAATGTTTGTTTTTTTTTTTTCTTTATTTTAATTAATTTGCTAGGTAGTGTAGGCTTGTTAAGGCTAAATACATATAGACATACATACATAATACATATAGACATACATACATACATACATATATACATACATACATAAATATATATATCCAGTCGATTATCATAATTTTTTTCAACCTTCGTCAAACCAAATTAGTAGGATTAGTATTTTGTCTAACTAAATTAATACATAAATAAGCTAGGTTTATCAACTCTATGATAGGCATGTCCATAGTCTAAAGTATTCTAATCACAATGTTTTATCATCTTCATGAGTGTAATCTAATATATATATTACATTACAACATATAATATTACATGATAAAAATTACTTATGTGAATGCTTAGGTGAATAATTTCTTTTAATGACGTATGTGATAATATTTATATTATTTTATTTATCAAATAAAATTTTTAATAAATTATTTAAATTGAATATTCTGGATAATTTTTTAAATTGAAATTAAAATCTATCTGAGATTAAAATTTTTACATAAAATTTGAATTTAAATATATTAAATCATAATTTATCTTTTTTTTTTAATTTAATGACAATTCAAAATATATATACTTAAAAAATTTTATTTTCTGTCAAATAATTTTATTTAATAAATTATTTAAATTTAATATTTTTAGATAATTATTTAAATTAAAATCAAAATCTATAAAAGATTGAAAATTATTTAATAGATTATTTAAATTTAATAATTTTAGATAAATTAATAAATTATTGACTATAAAGCATATATTTTTAAAGTAATAAGAGCTTACATTTTTATATAAAAATATGAGACATTTGAATGTTGATAAAAAAATTAGATAAAAATATGTTTTTACTTTGAAAACAAATATAATGATTTATTAATGTTCTAATTCAAATATTTTTATATTATATATTTGGTTAATTTATTTGTTTCTCCTTGGTCCATAACCTTTTTTAATTTTGCTTAGATTGATTATAATTAACTTTTGTTATTATATATTTTTTTGTTTTATTCATTTCTTCAATGTTTTTTATTCTTTATTAATTTATTAACATATTTGCTCTTATTATTATATATCTTTAATTTTGACAAATTAATATGTAAATTTATATTCTCTATTTTTTTTGCTATACTTTTTATTATTGAATTTATTTGTCTAGAATTGATGGTATGAAAAAAATGATGATCATTACCATATCTAACCCACAAAAAATACTATCAATTATGTTTAAAACGATTAAAAAACATAAAAAAAAGTTTTTAAGTATAACATAAAGAATCATTGTTTTCATTTTATCTAAAAAATAACTTTAGTTTATTGACATATATAGAAATAATTATCAGCCTAATATATTTATGTAATAATTACTTGAAGTATGTCAAAAATAAAAACTAATAAAAAGCAAATGATTATGATCAAATTAATAATTATGATTTATTATTCAATCAAATATATATATATATATACACCCGATCAATATTATGATAAAAATAATTATTAATCTTAACTATTTAAATATTAATTTTTTATTTTTTATCAAACAAGAAAAAAACTGTAACAAAATTTTTTGTATTTAACAAATAAATTAAAAAAATATTTTTTATGAAAAAGAAAAGATTTTTATAATTCTTGAAAATTGACAAAAATTTAGACTTAGTTTAGATGAATAGTATCATTTATAATATATTATATATAAATTATCATTTAATTGTAACTTAACATTTATAAATGTATAATTATATATTAGATCAATAATTAAAAAATAAATTTAAAATTATAAAAATTTTAATAAAAAATCTCGTGCGTTGCAGGTTTAAAAAGTTAGTTGCAGTAATAAGTCGTATCGCTTCGAAGTTAGCATTGATTACTACCAATTGAGGAAAACAGGCAACTGGAATTTGGAAAGGAATAAATAGTATTTTATTTCATAATAAAATAATCACAATATACCCAATTTGCAAGAAAATGATTTCTTGCAAAATATAACAGATTTTGCAGAAGATAAGAAATTGCCCTTCCAATATTATTCTCATGACTAGTGGAGGCTTTATAACTTAAACCATATTTCCCACTTGGACATTGGCTAACTGGCTCCAATAATCACCTGGTGTAGCCCTGCCCTTAGTCAAGTACCCATGTATTTCAAGTAGAAAATGATACAACAATGGCATGAACATTGATGAGGGCTACAGCCTCCCATGCTGTCCACGACAATTACAAATTCAACATTTTTCAACTTGATTTAAGATATAATGAGAGCTTCAAGGTGGACATACCAATAGGATATATACAGTAGGCGACATAAAATAATGCCCTTGGTTTACATTTAACATGCTTCCCAGACCTTGTAATCCTTCCCCTCAAGGACTGAGGACCATCTTTGGGGTCCACCTGGAGGCTCATAATAACCTGGTCCAATCTTCATTGCAACTTTTTCATCAATGATGGCTGCATATACATCCCTCTCTGCCTTGACAATTTTAACCTACCATATACAATTAGCAAGGTAGATGCACTGAGATCAGTCCTGCAAAGGTTTCTAATAAATAATGTTGATATTTACTACCCCAAAACCTTCTCTTCATAATGTAGATGCCTAACACATTGCCTTAGCTCTCAAGTATAAAAGAACAGAATTTTTTGGAAAAGCTTTCCACATAAACCGTAGTCCACACATATGAAGCAGAGGTTTTTATACTTACTGTACTCCGGCAATGGATTTTGTTTCTGTTTCTGAGAGAGATAAGAGCAGCAATTTCTGATCGATAATGAGAGAAAATGTGATCATAGAACACAGCCGGTGTTCCTGGATGAGTCAAGATATAAGCATATCCTTGCAGTTCCTTTCCACCTGGAAACCTCCAATGACCCTTCAGTAGTGGGGTGAAAAAGGATTAAAGGATAATTAAAGAAAAAAATTCAACAACAAGCCATGTAAGTAGCATTATAACAAGGTCTAAACAGGAATATTTTTCCTCTATTTGAAGTTTTGGCTACTCTAAAAAACTAGTTTTATTTTGAGGGATAATGAATCAGCCTTCTTCAAGAAAAAATTACCGTGGATATATATGACATCCTATACATTCAGAATCAACCATCTCTTAAGATCTACTACTTCTTCAGCCTGACTTAAAATTAAAAGTTAACTTACCTTCAAATTTTAAAGAAACAAAAGTAACTTGCTTAAAGCATTAAAACAACAACATTATATAATTCTTGTAATACAGATTTACAAAGAAGAATCTAGGACTACCTATTAAGAAATTCCTAAGACAATCTCTTGAAACATCATGCATACATATGTGAACACTGCTATCTTCAATAAAATATTTAGAATTCGGTAAAGATTTAACTGAAACCGAAAAAAGAAAATTCATTCTGATAGATGAGAAAAAAGGAAGACAAAGGGAAGAGAGAACTCCAACAATATTATCAAGCCTTAGTTTTCAAGAAAGTGTTACTTTAACAAATATTTAACTTTGCATGCATTATTTTCGTTCTTTGGATTACTTCAGTTTAGAAAAAAAATGAAAAAGTGGCAGAGTGAAAGACTCAAGGTTATATTCAAACCTGGGTAGAACCAGTGTCATGATTCTCTATAAAGGTCACAGCACGAGATGGCCACCATCCAACAACCCCAGGAGGCTTCCCTTTTTGATCCGATAATCGCCAATATTCACATCTTTCCAGAGCCTGGGTGAAATAAGTATACTGTAAATATATCTTGTGCCTTACTACTATAGTTAATAGAAACAATGCAATGACAGAGGACCAAGAGCAATGGCCAGTTTAAGAGCAAATCATTTATCTATAAGTTTTTCAACCTCTTAAATGTTTAAATGATGGCACAAAAGCTAGGCCAAATATACCTAGAAACACCAACATAGGTTCTCAATTTGTGGGCAGAGGGAGGAAGACAACGAAAAAAAAAATTTTAATTCCTTAAAATTGTATTCATGAAAACACTTAATAGGAGAAATTTGGATGAATGCTTACAGAATGAAGAATTCCTTTCGTTGAGACATCAAATGCACCAGCAGTTCCATTAGTAGCATTGATCCAATCAATAATTCTCTGTCTGTGGGCATCTTGATTGTGGTCCATTTCACCATAGGTGTAGCTGAGAGAATCCCAATACTCACCCACAGCAAAGTAAGGTGTACTTGCATCCAAGTAGTCCTTGACATAACCACCCCAAAATCCTCTAACAAAATCCAGCCTCCATCCATCATAACCAATTTCATCTCTACATGTCACAAAATGCCAGAAAAATTTTACATGAACATACTACTGCAGTTGGAGTGTGTATTCTGGAGAAATTCACAAGAAGTAAATCTCCCACATCATGTAGAAGCAAACAGACAAAGCTGATCAGAACATGATGAGGTCAGAAATATGCTTGAAAGAAACACAAGATAACTCGTTCAATAATTCCAGACTATTAAAGCTATATACAGCTTAGTTTCCTTGGAATAAAAGATACCACCAATCCAATTGTCAGAAAGTTCAAAAACAAAGAAAACGAAAGTTAAAATAGTTGCAGTACAAAATAGGGGACATTTCATGGAAAACTTCCACAAGAAAAGCCAAGGAAATAGTGATTGAAATATAACTGCAGCAGAAAAAGCATGAGGATGGTTCCTAATAACATCTAACATATTGAGTGATCAATTATATTTTACACCAGATTAAACAATTGAAAATAATCAAATATCTCAAACTACATATGCAAGGTGTTTCTAGTTTGGTTATCTAATCATCCTATTGCCAACATCTAAAAATTATACGAACAATCAGATATGATAATATTCATAGTTCAACTGATAGTTGCTGAAAAAGATGCAAATGCAATCCAAATCAACTTAC